GTGATAAGTCAAATTTTCACGATTAGCCAAGTTTTCTGAATTACTCTGTCAAGTAGCTTACAAGATCTGTCTATATTTCTGAGATGAGGTATTATTTACGTTATTTACATTATTCGGACTATTGTCCTCATCTTTGCCGACTGTTCATCTAACCAACGCCTTTATCCACTGTGCCATGTGTCCTCAAGGACACATGGCACAGTGGATAAAGGCGTTGGTTAGATCCAGTGACAGGACCCAAAGAGTGTGAGTTCAATATCCGGTTAAGGCAGTGGAGAACTTTCAGAGGGAAATTAGCAGGAGATAACTGATAACTGACATCCATCAAACATGGCACGTGGAACTAGAACAGTCTACCCCAGTGAGCGAAATAAAGCGTTCAGTTCGAAATTCCAACCACCTGAAGAAGGCCGGAGCGTACAACGGCCGAAACGTTGTGATAAATATGGCGACAAAAATGAGGACGATAGTTCGAATAATGTAAATAGCTTACAAGATGTTTCTGGTTTTGGTCATAATATTTGTGTAAATTACAATTAGTTTAATTTGTTTTGGCATGCGAAAGTATATGGTCGTACAGGTTGAGAAACCTTTATTTGAAATTCTTCAGGCCGGAATTTTTCAAATTTTTTTTTCGGATTTTGGAATACAATGGGGCAGCATAGGAACGGAACCCAAGCATAAACCCGATATCCATTTACGTTTCATAACACAGTTTATACATCTATCCTGAAGGTAGTTTTATATAATGGGCTATTCCGTTTTGAACGCGAGGAAGGACGGAAAAGAAAAGGCGCTGATTAGTTTCAAAGAGAAAAAGAAAGAAAAAAAAAACCCAAAGAAAGGTAATAACGCACTCATGTGTTTAACGTGTTTAACGCCTGTTTCAGTTAAACACAATTTTAAATTTGTACCCTCTTATTTTTTTAAATAATAACCTGCATTCATAACTTATTGCAATATATATTTAAAGTCGTTAAGATGATTTTATAAGCGTAGCTGTGGCACAAATCCGAAAATATGGGGTACCCAATGAGGATCAAACTCAGTACTCAGTCGTAAACTTTTAACAAGAAAAGCTTCAATCAGTTACATGCCATGTGTGATACGCGCTTAGGCGATCATGTATCTTTTGATACATGACTGACAATGCAGATTTTTTTCCGGTAGTAGGTTGCTATTTCTTTCTGCGGTAGGCCAGTTTCCATCCAAGGCTATAGAACCCGGTCTGTCCTGCTATTTACCCATAGCTAGTGGAGAGAAGAAGAGGATTCATACATTTCCCAAGAGTATTAGCACATAAGTGAATGTAATAGATTCGACTGGAATTCGAACTCGCCACTCCGATTCCTCAATCCGAGCCGCTATCCATTACTTGGTAACCTTTAAACCACGTCGAGGCGCCGTGTGTCGTTAATCTCAAATATTTAACGAAGCCAAAGGAGAATTCCTCCTGGATATTTTTTTACTCGTAGAATTCGCAAGGAGCTTATTCAATCATTAATTTAAGAATTATGATTTATCAGAAAATTCAAATATCAAAATTGTAAAATCTTTTTTAAGTAATATCATTTTTTTTAATATTGGTGTTTAAATTCGATTTTTCAAATTCGATTTTTCAAGCTAAAGATTTTCGGTATTTTTTTTTCATTGTTATTTTTACTATAAAAACCAAAGAGAACACACAAGAAAATCATTATAAAAAGTTAAGAACTAAATTATATTCCTATAATATTTTAATGGGGATATTTAAAATTCCCAAGGTAAATGAAATTTAATGCCTAATAAACAGACGGGTTAAATGTTGTTATAGTTGATAATTTTTCTTATGTGTTCATAATTAATGTAATTATTAATTTGATAAATTATTTATTTTAAATGACAGAAGGGTCTTTCAATTATTTTAAATCCTTGTGCAGATTTACAAAACTCGATAGCAAAACGATTATTTTCTCTTAATAAGTGTTGCATTCTTTGTATAAGAATTTGTGGTTGAACTTATTCCCGTGTATCATTCTGAAATTAATGCTCATTTGATTAGTTCGTTAAAATTTCTATATACTAAAATACTTACCTGGCACATGTCAGAGGGTATCCCCCAGACGAGTCTCTCCTAACGGCAGAGTCTCGTCTCGGGAAACTGACTTTGTTTTTGCGTGGTCTATAGGAAATTTTTGGCCGAGCCTACGGGCTCGGATACCCCACTTTAAACTCGGCCTTGTGCTACATCTTGCTGCGTGGGGCAGCGGTTAAATTATACCAAAATTCGATAATATATAGAATAAAATATAAAATAAGAAATATAAAATATTAAAAAAATTCCATACATAATAAGACGCCATTAGTGTGGTAAAACATTCTTCAGTTTAACCATAGTAATTGAAAAATTAATTTTTTATACTTACCGATTAATTAAAAAAACTTTCTAAAATTTAAAAATGGAAAATGGCTATTTTGTTGGTCAATTTGGTTTCTATTCGATTAATGCGTTTTCGATTAG